GGAAGGATAATAGGAAGTAGTTTGGAGATCGGTGTGTTAATATCGCTTCTCGAGAGATCCAACTCTCCGTTTCTTCTTCGAGGAGACTTGACGATTATTCCCCTTAAAAATGTTTTCGCGCGCGTTCGATCCCTGAAACTCTGGATCTCCTGGAAGGGAAAAGAAGGGAAAGGAAAGAAAAGAAGCGAAAGTGAAAAATTTCTCCCTTTCCATTTCTCTTTCTCTTCCCTCTCCCGAACAATATTTCCCAAGAGGCTCTTTTACATCACTCGGCTTCGGAATTACCGGTTTCGACCTCTCTTCACCTCTCGCATCGAACGAATTCGACTCGAAACTTGTTGTTGTTGTTTGTTGTCCGTTTGTGGAGAATTTCTCGCGGGATGAATCATCTCTTCCAAGATATTAATATTATTACGCTGTACGATCTAACCTTAACCTATATTTTGATCAACACACTTTTCTCCTCTTTTATATTAATATTTAATTTATATGTTTTTCGAGAAGAATTTATTATACGTGGACTTTATCTCTAACGAAGGATCAAAAGTGTGCTTTCGAATAGAATTATAACCTGCGACGATAATGGTTGGACGTCGACCAAGAGAATTCTGAACAAATATCAAAACCATCGTTACGCAGAGAGAATAATTCTGAAATCGATTAAAAACCTGATAGTTTACCAATCGATTATCACTTTCAGTTTCATTTGCTATTAAAAAAATAAAATATTCGACGCTGGAGAAACTGTAATCGCTTTCGAAATTTTTGATATAAAAATATATTGTTTTTCTTCCCACTAATAAAAACGGTTATTTCACGACGATCTAATAATTTCGACCGACACTTGCGATCGTCGTGGAATTTTTAATCGGTACAAGTGACGATGATCTCGACTTTCGCTTATATTGGACGAGGATTGGAATTGGAATCGGACGGTGCGGTGACTTTGAATTCGGAAGGAGAAACGGTCGATTGGTCTGGGGGACCCTGGTGGAAATTTCGAGCGAAAGGGGAGGGGCAAGAGGTCGATATCGCGAAACGATCCGAAAAAACGAGTTTAATAACGTCAAACGTCGACGATATAACTTCGAATAGAGGCGTGTACTTTCCTTCCTTTTTTCTTCCCCCCTCCATACTTTTCTTTATCCTCGAGTTTCGACATTTATTCAAACGATAGGAAAACAAATTCCTCTTTTCGTCAATATTTTTATCAATCTTACGGCGTTGCATCGAACGGTTACAATAATTTCGAAAGGAAAGGTATTTCGATAAAAATCTGTGGAACGATTCGATGCCGCGCATTCCATAAAATTGAATGGAATATCGGCGGTGGACGCGGCCACGGTTTCCAAAATGTAATGTTTATTAACGACAGTTTCGAAGTTCTGATTGCCTTTCAACCGTGATTCCGCGCCCGTTGTCGAACCTACGTATCGCCCTCCCCTTTCACCTTCCTCTCCACTTGTAATCGTTTTTTTCAAAAATGTTTCAATTTCATCTCGTCCAGATCTAACCTAACCCCCTTTCTCTCTCCATCCATATTCCCTAGGCAAGGAATTCGTTCATTTCCGCCCCTGAATCATCCTCGTCGAAGATTAAATTATTCCACGTTTACGCGATACGATATATAATCCTGTAACGTGAAATATCTCGAAAAAGAGAAGACGAAATCTTGCTCGTCGTTTTTTTTTTGTTCCACGCGACATTTCGAAGAAAAAGACACACACACACACACACACACACACACACACACACACACACACA